GTTTTATGATTATTTGCATATTTGTGTAACAAAACTTTACACCAATGATTATAATTACGTTATGATTATTTTAATTTAAGTATTTTCCATTTTACATATACACTTCCATAAATTAAAAGGAATGAAGTTATTATAGTTAATATATGCAAATCGTTATCAAATCGTATATTTTCCTTTTCTTCCATTACATGCGTGCGATATATATAAATATATAAACTATGTTACCTGCGTCATATGCGTCTCTAATTATTTTTCCCTAGCAAATTTCAATTGAACCTAAAGACGCCACGTCAGTTTAATTGATATGCTAATTGATTGACAACTAAGCAAGGTTACTTTTTAATTAATACAAACTTGAGGTTACATCTTTTCAAATGTTTCTCAATTAATATATAGGGGATATTAATTAGACAAGTACTTACAAGGCAAGGAAATAAGTATAAAAAAAAATATCTCAAAGCAATAGTAAGAAAGAGTTTCAAGAGAAGGATAACAAATGACACAGATAACTGGTGCCTTTAAACTTTAAAGGTTACTGTTGAAGAGGTTTCTTGAGAAGCACGGCTTCTTTGAGCGTACGACCAAGAGCAAAGGCCAGTGGTGGAGGCACTGCATTCCCAATCTGCTTATGCTTGTCTACTACTCTCCCTACGAACTCATAGCTATCCGGAAACCCCTGCACAATATTTTCATATACCGAATTATAAGTTACTATATTTCCAAATCTCTCCCTACATATGATACAAACAAGTGCTTTACCAACTCCACAACTGCACAGAAGAGTTTTTATTACCTGAGATCGTGCACATTCACGGACAGAAAGAATCCTGTCTTGTTCAGGATGGAAGCACATTCCAACCATACCCATTGGTTGAGGATCAGTGATGGAAGTTGCAAAGTTGCCTTCCCAGTCTACTCTCCCAAACTGTCCTTTCCACTTCTTAGCTTTCTTGCGCAGAAAAGCTGGAATCATATCTACTATCTTCCCATTTGCTAACTTAATCTGTAATACGTTATAAAGCAAAAGCATTAGAGTTTTGTCTCTTCAGTTGAGTTTCCCTTAAGTTAGGAAGATGCATAAGACTGACCTTTCTATTTTTGAGGGCACGCCAATCAGCACCTGGTTTCTTTGGTATCTTCTTACAACGGATGAGGTTTTTTTCATCCATCTCTTTGCATATATGATCAGTGAGAACAATCATGTTTCCTCTTATCTTCTTTTGGAACCAAGAGACTGGATCAGCTCCATACTACAAGAGACAAAAGTCCTCCACATTCAGAAATAGATTCATACATACTTTTTTTCATGATGTGTTTTATCATATACATACCTCTCTGTTGGTATTGGATTCTCCATTTTCTATAGGTGGAAGATCTCTAATAGTGTCTTCAACAGTGACTGACCGGAAAGGTGCACCATATCTAGTACTAGGGACAGCAGCATAGTGTGATTTTTTGGATAATTTGATATTCAACTCTGGACCACCAAAGACATGCATAGGCTGAGGCCATTCTGGTAGAACTTCTTCTGGTGCAGCTGCCCAAATAAAAGCTCTTTTGCGAGATTGTGAAACTCCATATGCACCTGCCTCCAACACTCCAAACCTCACCTTAAAAAAAAACACCATTACAAAATGTCATGACAACTTCTACTAGAGAGAAATCAAAGTGACTAATTAAGGATGTTTTATTTACCTGGTAACCCATTTCAAGAAGAGAAGCCAGAGTAAGTTTAAATGTCTGCCCTTCATTGAATGACACAAAGGTCCTAACATTCTCCAGCAGAAAATACTTTGGCCGGAAATAATCAGCAAAGGACAAGAATGCTAGTATCATTTCACGCTGAACTTGACTCCAATAGCCATCCTGGAACCTGTTCATACCAGAAAACCCCTGCCAAATTGCACCAGTTTTTTTAAGATCTTTTCACTTCTTTTTTAAAAAAAAATGGCACACAAAGTTTGAAAGATATATACTTGGCATGGAGGTCCTCCACTGATGAAATCCACTTGACCAGGGAGTGGCAAAGCACGCTTCTGTTCCTCATCAAGTTTAGCTGCAAGTTCATTTGCCTCTGTGGTAGAGAGACACTCATCTTCATCTCCACATTTCTCCATTATAGCCCTGCGGATAATTAATCTCAGACACCAAGTAGACTTCATTCCAAGAGTAAATGTTTTTATTTTGTTGGATATTTTTTACCTAAGAAGCACATTGCAGTTGTTAACAAAAACCGTTGACTCAGGATGGTTTTGTTTAAATGCCTGCCCTGCTTGCTCTTCAAACTCAATAGCCCACTTTGTTTCAGATACACCTTGTGACCATAATAAAAATCAATCAAACTTGTTCAAATACATAAAAAGTGTTTGGTTGGAGATAATACATACCTGACTGTTCCAATCCCTTAGACAGGCCGCCACAACCAGCAAAGATGTCAAGTGTCGCCAGACGCATCTCCTTAGGTACTTCATCAGAATCAGTTTCACCCTCTATTCCCTTCCCCTTTAGCTTCCTTAGAAGTGTGTCATCCTTAAGGGTAGAGAACTTTTTTTTTTTTTTTTTTTTTTTTTTTTTACCGGTAGAGAACTTTGGTTTGATATGGATGGGCATCTGTTACAAGACAGTTAATATAAACACTTTTAACTTTATATTTGAATAAAAGAATAATGTTAAACAAACTAGTTTTATATATACCTGATGGAGAGAACCATTGTGATAGAAAAGTTCACAGAAGAAGATATTGCCTAATATTAAATAGTCATTGCGTAAGGGCATATCATGTTTCCTCCGTACTTCACATTTGCCTTCTATACCTCCTGGAGGGATAAGATGTGCTTTCTGACTGTAATACACCTAAAACAAATTGCAAAAAAAAAAAAAAAAAAAAAAAGATTGTAAGACAAAAACCAACATAATAACCTCATTTACTTCAAACATCATTACATAAGAGATAGTTCTTAATTAGTACTTACCTCTTGGATGTCTGAACGATAACTCTTCTTTGAAGAGATATCCTCTGGCCTATAGAATCTTCTCACGTTGACTTCAAACAAATCATATCTTGATGGCACTTTCGAGACAACTACGTCTAGTAGTTGACAAACAACAAAGGCTTTTTTTAAGCCAGTGTCTCTCCCAGGCTTTATTTTTTTCTCATCCTCCTTTTTTGGTGTTGAGCCTTTTTTATTCCTAGACTTGACATTTTCCTTATCTTCCTTTTTTTCTGGTCCATATATAAACCTAGGGTCTACGTAAACGAAATCCCCCATGCAGTAGTCAACCCCGTTGTATACAAACCCACTCTTTGATAGTTTGGCTCTTTTCCGTTCTTCTCCCTCCTCCCTGATCTTGCATGAACTGCAAAATCCTGAACCAAGCCCCATATCATTGAGTGGGAGACTAAAGAAACCTCCTCTCTCAGATGAATATAAGCATTTGCAGAAATATTCTGTCTCCAAATTTTGTGCTCTTCTCTCTTGTGCTCTCTCTCGGTCAAGCTTATTCGCAGCGTTGTTCTCTTTCCTATACTGATGTCCCCATGGTCTCGACCGAATCTCGAAACTGACTTTTCCTTTTACGTCCTTAAGCTGAACAGTCATGCATGCATTGGTTAGGAATAGTTCCCTCTCGTTAGCAGCGTTCCCTAGAACAGTCTCGGATCCTTTTTGAAGTTGTCTTCCATGTAGCATTTTGAAGTGATCCGAAGTTTCGAACATGTACTCCACAAAGTAGATGACCGAAGTTTCAGCAACTTCTAAAAGGACAGCACCACCAACAGCAACTAGTTCTCCTCCAACGAAGGCTTGTCGATAGAGTGGCTCACCAGCAGAAGTTTTCCCGAGAATATCACCTTCCCATCTTGTTTCAACTTCTACATGATACGTCTTCTTTGTCATTCGGCTCCTCCTCTTCAACCTTCTCTTGACATTTTCTGCTCCATTGGCCTCGAAGTTTGTATAATACCGTCCTTGAATTCTATCAATAAGGTGGGTTTTTGTTGCACGCATAGCACTTATAGTGTATGAAGTTGAACTCCTCTTTCTTCTTGGTTGTTGCATAGATTTCATATTATCCTCATCTTGTATATTTATAGTGTATGTTTCCTCCTTGTCTGCACCATCACCAAGTTGATCAGATGTCAAGGCCACTTCAGAAACTCCACCAAGCATGATAGTGCCAATAAAAAGATGAAAAATTGATTAGACTACCATATTCCTATTACTATTTTTCTTGTTTACTTTATTCACATTTACTCTTAGTTTTGAAGAGGTAAATAAACATTTATAATCTTAAATAATCTAGATTTAGAGTTTAGATTGAAGGGTGAAATTTTGGAGGATGGGGAATGATTTTAATAAATGTATAATAAATACTTAAGATTTGGAATATAAATTTTTAAAAATAGTTTCAAAAAGATTTTTTTTTTAAAAAAAATAAAACCAAATTCAAAAAATTTATTGAAAATAGAATTTGATAACGTTTAATTCAAAAATTATTAGAAAAAGTATTTTATTTTTGTTATTTATTTGAATAACTATTTATATTTATAAATCTATAAAACAAGGACATAAGAGTCTTTGATGAAGAAAGTATTTGTAACAATATCTTTATTATAAATATGAACGATCGTATAAAAAATAGGGTAAACGTGAACTTCTCCTTGTTGAATAAAAACATAAGAATATCTTTAGAATATATATATAAAATTTGGCTAAAAACACAAGAATGATCCACATAATAAGTTAATCTATCTTATTAAAACAGAAGTACTAATAAAATATACCCCTTAGTTTTTCAAGTATTTACACAACAATGCCATTATATTTATTAATAATCCTAATTTTTAGTAATGTTGTCTTTTTCAGTTAATTTAATACATTTCTTAAATTGTTTATTAATTTTAAAAACAAAATCCTTTCTGGATATCCCCTAGATTTTCTCATATAACAGTTTACTAGGATAAAACCTGCGCCTTGCGCATGGTGAATATACGTAATTAGAATATAAGATTTTAATATTGATAAATTTAAAATTTACATATAATTGTCTTTATATGTATTTGAAATTTTAGATGTTTGGAATTTTTAAATAATTATCTATACGTAGGATCATAACCAATTGTATAGATCAAATTTTAGAATTTAATGGACCCGATTTCATATATCTTTTCACTTTTTAGTGTTCGAGTGATGGAAAATAAACAGAGTGTCATTGGGCTTGAGTGGTAAAGTATTAGCAAATTTCCTAATGTTTTTTTTAAGAACCAGTTGGTAAAATAATTACATTTAAAATATATAAAGTTTCAAAACTAATTTAATATAATTTATTTATTTGTATAATAATATTAGAAAACTATATTTTTTACAAATTATTATTTTTTAATAATTTTATAAAAAATTAAGTTAAATTTTAAATTACTTTTAAAAACAATATTTTAAGTTTTTCAAATACAAATAAAAAATTTAAAATTAATTATGGTCATGATTTAACATAACCATAATGATTTAAAAATTAAGAAATTAAAAATTAACTCAGTTTTATATCATGATTTAACAATTAAAAATTAATTATGGTTATGAGAAGTTTACGTTCACGTGTTAATCCGAATTATCTTCAACTTTTTCTCTTGTTGTATTTTTTTTTATATTTTGGTTATTTCTCGATATAAATATTGATTTTGAAGTTTATTCTCATTTCGTTTATTTTTTTTTTACCTGAGATTTAGAAAATATTTAAAATTTAAAATAATTAAAAAGATACATACTTAGGTTAATATCTGCACTTTATGCATAATAAGTATTTTATATTTATAACTTATTTTATAATATTCTGTATATCATAAAATAATAAATATATATATTACATAACTAAGAAGTCAGTCACTATTATGTAATAAATTGACGTATGCATATAAATTTAACTATCATTCATGTTTATTCGCAATTAGCGTAAATAAATCAAAATAATCAATCTTATATATATATATATATATATTGTATATGATATATAATTAAATTTAAATGATATAAACATAGTAATATGGCACACTTTTAATATTGATATTTATTAAATGAGGTTTCTACTCATATAATTTTATGATTATTTGCATATTTGTGTAACAAAACATTACACCAGCTACTTTTTTTAATGTGAGATGTTTAGTAGTTTCAATAATTTATAATCATTTTTAAAAAAGCAATGACATATTTCAAAATTAAAATATTATCTTTTCAATATATGTTGAAGACAAATATCAAAATATAAGTATGTATTTTCATACGATTTATAGTTTAATTAAAACGATATGAAATATATATATAAAAACTAAAATTATTTCTTCATATGGTCTTATAATCATTATATTTTAATATAGAAAAAATTAAAACCTTGATCGTAAAAGTTTACGTGAGACTTTTAACAGTTTTAGTAATTTATACTCATTTTGAAAAATTCGAAATACAACATACACAAAAAATCTAGATTTTTATTATATGATTAATGTAATTGTGTAATTTATTTTAATAATAAATAAATAAACAAAATGAGAAAAAGTATATAAATTGTTATCAAATCTTTATTGTTTAAAATCATTAATTGTCATATATATTTTAATCACATTAGGTAATTCCGTAGGTTTTATATAAGGAAAGCATGCGAAACAATAAATATTTGATATATGCGACCAACTATAGTCTACTAAATATTATATTGCTAGAGAATATAATTTTTAGACTATACATTATATCACATGCTCTAGAATCATTGGGATTTGAAATAGAAGCCAAAGAGCTATGCCACATAGATTTGAGGTTATTTTTAATTCTTACAAACTTAAGGTTACAACTTTTTAAATGATTCTCAAATAATATGTAGGGGATGCTATTGATTTCTTTTCTCTAAAAATATAGAAGTTTAAATATGAAAATATTAGAAGTGCATAATAACTATAATTTACATATTCAATCACGTTGGACCATTTAATAGCATATAGTCAACGTTTTTAAATACTGATTTCAGTTATCATTAATACTTAAAAATGTCATATTAAACAAGAATTTAATACATTTATATATTTTAAAATTATATATTATTATATATAAAATAAATATATATATATTTGTAAAAATGTAAAAATAAACCCGCACGAATGTGCGGGTCAAGCTCTAGTAACCATTATGAAAGCTGAAAATGGAATCCGAGATTCTGTTTATATTTTTACTTAACTACTAATTAAGTAGAATATATATAAAAGATTTTGGCTAAAACTGGAGGGTGTTATATAGAAAAAAAATGACTGACTTCCCACGATGAGTCAATATACATTCATAATCCTTTTTTGTCTACAACGACAACATTTTTTTTTTTCAAATGGAAAATAAATTTTCTATGTAAAATGAAATCTCTCTAAACTCCAATAAATCAAAACTTATTAACTTTCTTCAAAACATGAGTTAGCTATCTGAGGTTAAAAAAATATTACATTTTGATCTGAAAAGTAACAATATTATATTTACATAATATTTGAAAAAAAGAATATTTAACATAATATATAACAAAAATCACATTCTGACAGAGAAAATAGCATAACGCGTGACACAAGTTGGTATATATATTTGATAATGTTGCTGAGAGCCGTTTTCAGAAGTTGTCAGTGTACTGGTAGCACTAGCACTATAGTATCAGCAAGCAAGAAGAGAAAGCGAAGAAGCAATGGCCAAAACGCAAGAGCAGTTTGGTTTCATACTAATTCAACATGGTTAAAAGCTTGTACCATTTTTTAAAAGAAACTAAACTTGAGTTTGATACTTTTCATTCACACATAACAAAAACCTTTCTTTCTCGTAAGACTAGTAAATTTATAAAGCATTAAGCTTCACTACTTTCAGTGGATTTGTTGTTGCCCGTTTGCAAGAAATATATTTGTTCCTTCATCCTAATATCAACTTCTGTGTAAATTTAGGGTTGAAGAGAGATTAGTAGATTCTTCGAGAATCATATGATGTAGTAAATGTTTTGATACTTGCCGTCCAAGGCTGCTCAATATTTCCCCTTTTATGTAAGCGAATAACATACACGAAACATTTGAATTGGTGATTAGCTTTATTAGAAAAAAGGAAACAACAAAAAAATCAACTTGAAGCGAGTTTATTAAAGCAAACCCTATATAAAGAAAGTCTTGGCTTCTTTCTTCTCCACAACGCAACACAAAACTTACAGACTCAAAAACCTCTCGACTTATAGATAATTTAGGGTTTAGGTTAATCAGAATGGTGAAAAGAAGAGGAGGCACTAAGCGAAAGATCCATAAGATGGAAAAGATCACGAAGAGAGAGTATCTCGCGACTACTTTCACTAAACGTTGTTCCGGACTTCACAGCAAAGCCGCGCAGCTCTGTCTACTCGCCGAAGCACAAATAGCTATTTTAGCGACTCCTCCTTCTACGCATTCCAACGTCTCTTTCTTCTCCTTCGGTCACAGTTCCGTGGATGCTGTAGTGAATGCTTATCTCACGGGACAGCGTCTTGCTCCTGTTCGGGAAGAGCCGAGGGAGGAAGATATTGGTATATTGATGGCTCGTAAGGAGCTAGGGTTAGAGTTGTGGTGGGAGAAAGAGAGTCTTTCCAAATCAAAGGATCCTCAAGAATTGATGGACGCGGTTAAGTCCATAGAGAGGGTGTTGAGTAAACTGCGTGACTTTCTCGATAGTAATGAAAGAGATTCTCATCATCAATCTAATGAAGACAAGAACGAGGTGGCGAAGAGGGATATCGTTTTGCAGCAGGGAAGTCAAGAAGTAGATGAAACCCTAAATCTCCAAGCAACTTGTTGCGTACGTGATGATGATGATGTTGCTGCTGGTTTTGACAAGATCACTGAAGAGGAAGATCAGATCCTTGCTAGTTGTGATAGTTTTTGTGCTAAGGAGGACAACAACATAAACGGTTTAAGTGGAAGTTTGGATGTGTACAATCAAGAGATGGATATTGATGAACTGATAGATTGGACGACTTTTGAATGTTCGTGACGATGGTGTTTTGGATAGCACTTCATGGGAGTCTTTTGATGAACTTTGAAGCTGCTGCTCATGATGTCTCTATGAATCCAAATCCTCCCATCTCTGTCTCTGAAGGTGTTGAAGCCGAAGCTTTGGTGAATGATGTCTCCACGAATCCATATGATTTTGAAGGTGTTAAAGAGGAAGCTTTTTTTTTTTTTTCATAACAAGGCTTTGGATGCAGACAATCTCCAGTTCACTGATTATTTCAACTATAGTTATATAACCACCGTAGCTGATGTATGAAGATAACATGAGGTTTATTAGTAACTTATGTGATTGTTTTCTTTATGTAATAACAACCAAGATTATGTGTAAGTGTAAGGATTAGTTCGGGTTAACTTTCGTTTGGATTATTATTAGTGATAAAGTTTTGGGTTCAGTTCTTCAGTTTATATGCTTTTTTTTTGCTTAACAGTTTATATATGTTTTGTAGTTACAGCTTCATGTAAAAAACCATGTCTTTGTGATTATTATACTTAAGATAATAGGAAAGGAATATCTATCAACTTATGGATAATCTTATCTAAACTGTATATTAAATTTGGTAACAAACTAATAAGATAATCACAAAATGAATGAGTAGTACTTAGGCTTGGGTGTTCGGGTACCCCTTCGAATATGAATACGACTCATTCGGGTATCGATTTCTTCGGGTTTTGAAAAATGGTCCCATTCGGGTATTACAAAAAATCGGGTCGAATTCGAGTCGGGTCGAGTTCGAGTCGGGTCCTCCTGGTTCCGGGTGGGTTCGGGTTTTAACCGAAATAACTAAAAGTACTCGATTTTATTCAGGTATTTTATATCTAAACTACTCAAACTTATCTAAAATTAACTAAATTCCCAAAAAATACTCAATACATATGGTTTAAATTGGTTAATTTTTTTTTGTAGAAAGTAACAATAGATACAATGTTATTTGGGTATTTTGTATCTGAAACATCAATTTCTATTTATAAGTATCCAAAATACTTAATATATTTGATATATAATTTTAATTTTAGGTATTACTATTAGTAAATGTATAAATATTATTTTTCATATATATATTTATATGCCTGGAAAAGTTCGGATACTCATTCGATTCTCGGTACGGATCGGGTGTTGTTTTGGTTTTTCACATTTTGAAAAAGGACCCTTTCAGATATTTTGGCTATATCTGATTGGGTTCGGTACCCTGATTTTTGGATCGGTTTCGGGTTAAGTACTTCGGGTACGGATATTATGTCCGGCCGTAGTAGTACTCATCTAGTATGCATTTGTAACTCAAGACCATTCATAACAAACCAAACGGTACAACTTGAACCGACCGGTTGGTGGTTTATTAAGAGAAAACCAACCCTTGCCTTTATTCTAAAGACTTTCTGTTTCCTTCTCTGTTAAGAAGAAGAAAGAGATCATTTTTTGGAATCTCACTCATCTCTCAGAAAAAATGGTAGCAAGAAAGTTCGTCATCCACCATGAAGACTCGAGCTTTGAAATCGACTACAACACAGAAGATGGTCTTGAGGTCGCTCTCTTGTCTTTATTGTAATACATTCGTGTGTGTCGGAATCAGTTACGTTTATTTTCCGACATAAGTGAATGCTTTTTGTAATGTTTTCTCTGGCAGGTTCTACAATTTCAGATTTTCTCCGTCACTTTTGTTCCTCCTGATGATCAAAAGGTCTTTTCTTTTTTCCTAAATCTGTGGAATGGAATCTCTTGATTGATTTCTGTTTATCTAAAATTTGGTAAAAAATTGTGATCGATATAGATCGTTGCTGAAGATGATGATCGATTGATAGTGTCGGATGGTACTGATCTCGGTTCTATATCCGATAAGCTTCGGTTGCTCTCTATTGGAGGAAACTCTGAGGAGAAGTCAGAAGGAGTCTCTGGTGAGAATCAGCAATCCGATGTGGATATGGTTAAAGCAGACGAAGAGTTTGCACGAATGTTGCAGGTTTTGTTTTGGTTCAGTTCTTTATTTGTGAACTGATTAATTGATTGATGATGATGATGATGTTGACGTGATTTTTTGGATTTTTTGGTGCTAACAGGCAGAAGAAGAGGCGATGATGTTTCAACAGTTTGTTGCTCAACAAGATAACGGTGAATTCGAGAGGAGGATAAGGCCTTATGTCAGCCAAGTCCTCATGGTGATAGTCTAGCTTCTTTAAAAAAAAAAATAATATTTTCTATGTTTTTGTTGATGTATGATTGTAACTGTTTCAGTATGAAGATCCAGTCCGTCAAGAAGCTGCTCGAAAGACTGTTCCTAAAGATGAGCTTGAGGAGAAAGCTTTGGTTTCTCTCGCCAAGGTTTGTGCTTATATATATTCACTTATGAATTGAAACTATAACATCTGCATGTTGGAAAATCATTGATGAAATTAAGAAGTTATAGTCTTTCTGGTTTGAGGATTTAACTTGAGCTTATCTGAGATCTTAAACTGATTCAAGTTTTCTAACAAACATTATAGGAGGGGAATTTCGAGCCATCGAAAGAGGAAAAACACTATGCTTTCCTGCTTCAGCTACTTTTCTGGTTCAAAAGATCCTTCAGGTTTTTTTTTCCTAAGCTTTCTTGTCTTTTTGATCTTCTCAGAAGATTACTGGTAAAGATTGCATCTCTGTTTCTTTGCCTGTGTGATAATGCAGTTGGGTAAACGAACCTTCTTGTGACTATTGCGGTAGCAAAACCATAGGCCAGGGGATGGGAACCCCACTCACCTCTGAACTTGCTTATGGAGCAAGTCGTGTTGAACTATATCGGTACGTTAATTACTTTGCAACTCTGTTGGTGTTCACGACCTTTAATTACTCACATTTCATTTATTAGATTGGCATCAATACTTACTTGATTATTTTCTGCTGGTTAACTCTAGTTTTGACTTACTAGTTTTGCTGTTTCACTATATAACTTATACAGATGTACCTCGTGTCCAACGATAACTCGGTTCCCTCGGTACAATGATCCGCTAAAGGTAACTAAATAGCTTTTTACAGTGGAAGATGTATATGAACTTGAATTCACTTACATGTTCCATTCCTCTTCCATGTTCATGAAGCTCGTAGAAACAAAGAGAGGTCGTTGCGGGGAATGGGCCAACTGTTTTACCCTTTACTGCCGCACGTTTGGCTATGATTCTCGTTTGGTATTGTGACATCATCTCTTCTACCAAATATGCATTTATGTTTGTAATGTGTTTTTATTATATTTTTATTCATTTACAGATTATGGACTTCACTGATCATGTGTGGACGGAATGCTTCTCTCACTCATTGGGAAGGTGAATTTTCATATGCCAAACAAACTGTCTCTTGATCTCCTTTTCAATCTTGAAGAAGTTATTTGTCTTTGTGCAGATGGATCCATCTTGACCCTTGTGAAGGAGTGTATGACAAACCCATGCTATATGAGAAAGGGTAAGTTACCTTCCCTTTCCATGATTGTCTTTGAACAATCACCATATTCTCACAAAACCTTTGCCTTGTAGATGGGGTAAAAAACTGAACTATGTTATCGCTATTTCCAAGGACGGGGTGTGTGATGTCACTAAGCGATATACAAAGAAATGGCATGAGGTAAAAAGCTACAATTAAAACAACGAAATCATTTCAATTCCTCACCTATGGTCTTTGCTGTTGCTTTTCCACACTCTAGGTTTTGTCTAGACGAACTCTCACAACTGAATCATCTCTGCAAGCTGTTCTTCGTACCCTTACACGTGAAAGGAGAGCTATGTCCCGCTCTTTAGCTGCGCTTGAAGTCCGAGACAGAAACGAGGAGGAAGAGCTCGAGAGAAACCTGCATTCACCAGATGATGCATCAGTTTCTTTACCCGGAAGGCAAAGTGGGGACAAGGAATGGCGCATTCAGAGATCAGAGTTCGGTTCTGACGAAAACAGCTCTGTCAGCTCTTCCTCTTGCCCGGTCCGCACATGCGTTGATGGCCATGTGACCAATATCTATGACTCATTTCAACCTATCTTAACACAGTTCGTTGAGGATGGTTTACCTGTAGCGAGAGCAGTTGAGGTGCTTAATGTGATCAAGCAAGTCCTAGTGGATCTGAAGAGTGTTTCTTTTAAAACGAGGAAGGCTCGCTTGTCTTTAGATTCAGACAGCATTCTGCCAGCACTTGAAAGTTTTCTTCTTGCTCTTTCTTTGAAGAGTGAAAAAGACACAGACGGTAAAAGTCTCACTGTAGGCTTGGGGGGTAACCCCACAAAAACGGCTTTGGCATTGCCAGTTGCATTGGACGCTTTAAGGGAACTGGTCACTGACCTCAGCAAGTGCCAACAATTGAACAAAGATACACTGTCTTTTCCGTTTCTGAAACAGAACAGGGTATGCTCTGGTTCTGTCCTCGCAAGTGGTGAAGAGCTTCCTTCTGGCATTGTAAGTAGTACATTACTACAATATTCATCTTTTACCATTATTATTTAATATTTGGTTTATTCCTAAATAAGCATATGCCTCAATGCCTTAGGCAACCGCTGCTTTTGATGGAATCCAAGAGTCAAAATGGGAGGAGCCAAATGGTGCAAAAGGTATGAACTGATTAAGTATTCTGAAATGTTTTTACAAGATATGATGAGAAGTATCTATCTCTTCTCTTGCAGGCTGTTGGATCATGTACAAAACACTCTACAACCAGGTGCAAGAACTCGTAGCATACGAGCTCATGTCTGCAAATGATGCCCCAGAGAGAGACCCCAAAGATTGGTAATGTCTATTTTACCTTCCCCTCTTTTTAAAAGAGTCTTTTAACATACACATTTGGGCTCTTTGTCCTCACTGTTTTTGTTGATACCTTTCGCAGGGTTCTTGAAGGAAGTAACGATGGTGGATCGACATGGCAAGTTTTAGACAAGCAAACTAGCCAGGTATTCGACGAGAGGTTTCAACGCAAATCCTACAAAATAACATCACCAGGGTTCCAAGCTAATCTCTTCAGGTAATATCAAAAAAAAATCTCTGATGTACACATTGTATAAGATTGGTTGAGTGTAATCACAACTGAGTCTTGAATTGGAGTTGATGTGTAATGTTGCTGGCAGGTTCCGGTTTCTGTGTGTACGAGACGTGAATTCAACTTCCAGACTACAACTAGGGAGCATCGATCTTTACAAGAGCGACCATTAACCAAAAAGATGCACGTTAAATGTATCTATGTATAACTATATATATATACCAAACTCATTCATCATTGTCTTCACTTTCTGCAAAATGATGTCTTGGTATTGTATTGTTAAAGGAACAACTTCATGATACTATATAACAGCTCTTTCTTTTCTCTTGTCTGTGTACTCTGTTTCCTCTCTGTTTCTGTTAGCAAATAATAAAAAGAGTGTTTTTTTTTTGTGTTGGTTTGTTAAAAAGAATATACTCTTAATGGGCTTTAGAGAACTCAGGCGAGACATTACAAATGCTCCTCTGTTCCGTCATCTCTCTGAATAAGTCAGAACAAAGGAATAGACTTTCTGTCTTTTCGAGAAGAAGCATCATCTATGGCGGATTCTAACGTTGATGATCTAGCTGAATCGCTACAGAGTCTGTACACGAATGTATCATCCATGATTAAATCCGAGCTCCAGGTGAAAACACAAAAAAAAAGATTCAAACTTTGCAGATTATATATTTGTAAAATGAGTTTTGGTGGTTTGGATTTAGGGAACGAACAATCAGATGGATCTGTTGGAGAAGATGAACGTGAGAGTTGCGGCTGAGTATGATGATCTGGGTGACGTGGCGGCTGGGCTCAGAGTTTATGCAGAGCAGATGACGTCGAAAAGTGGAGGCTTTGATGAGATAGTGGCACAGATGGATGTGATAGAGAAACAAGTGTCGGAGTTTGAAGCTGTTGTCTCTGTTTTAGATCGATATGTCTCTGTCCTCGAATCCAAAATTCGAGCTAAAAAATCTGTTACAAGTTGATTGGTCATTGTAACAATTATGTACCCACTTTTATTCCAATATTGAAGACTATAACCTGGACAAGCAAATTTGTTTTAGCCTGAAATTTATTTTGTTCGGAATCAGATTGCTAGCTAAGCTAAGCTTAAATGGGTTCACCTGAGAAAAGATCAAAGGATGTTGTCATGAGAGACATACCAACCTTCAGTGCTGAGAATCTTCAGAAAAATCTCAAAGTCATTCAGAACAGGTCTCTCTCTTTCAATACCACCACAATCCTTTATCATTTTTCTTGTTTTTGACCATGTTGTGTCTTGTTTTGCAGCCGGACCTTTCTGTCTATTATTGCTGGAGTCCTTGCTGGAATTATTGGATTCACTGGCTTGACTGGTTTTGTGTTTTACTTTGTGGTGATGTTGATCACATCAGTTGGGCTCATCGCTAAAGCAGGATTCTCAGCTGACTTGTACTTTGATTCATGGAACCGAGTCCTTTTTGATGGCTTTCTTGGCGGCCTTATGGTATATGCTATTATCTTGCTTTCTTGCATTATTCTCTGTTAGTCCTTGTATGTGCTTTTGTCAACCTTTCCAAGCTCATACTAATCACAGTTTTTTTTTTGTTTTTCTCTTTTTGGCAGTCCTTTGTGCTCTTCTGGACGTATCCTTTTTAATCTCAGTACTTGGTAGTAGTCAATCTCGTTTTATGATAAATGTGAACAAAGTAAATCACAAGAACATCTGAATGGTACAGTGTGAAAACTTGAGAAGCTCCTTAAAACATGTGAATAGCCTCTGAATAGTCTTTTTGTTTAGTAAGCGTTAGAGAATCAGATAAGAGCATAGATGCTACATGCACACTCGTAAACAGCTCTCTCTTGTCTCTATTTTTCTCTCTGCTTCCTTAACGATGTATTTATAGATTTGCTTATGACTTGGTCCACATATTCTGAAGGATCTTCAGCTGCAAACGATGATGGTGAAAACAAGAGAGAGGAAGTTGCGTAATTTGTGAGTTTGGTACTTGCAACCTCTGGACAAATGTTTTTCTGTCTCCCTTTTGTCAACAACAGATTATGAATCTCTATTTTATTGTTTCACATCAGCTGAGTTCATGTATGTTAAACTCCCTTTCTTGAGATTTCATATTTTTCACATGTAAAAATAGCTGAAGATGCATACTGAGACAAAATATGTCAAGTTTACAAAATAGAACTCAAGGTAGCCATGTAAAAGAGTACGACAAAATGAAAGTCCACTTAAGTAACTGAGTTACTGACTGAATCTTAAAGGGCTAATCTATCAAAACTTGGAGCTTTCTTTACCATTTTCTCTAAAAGCGACTCATCAGCGAGCTCTCTGTAAGACCCATCCTGAAGAGTTGGTTTCACAGAGGTCATGCATCACCTGCGCAAAACCAAGAGAGAATCAGACTAAAACCACACTCTGGTTACTTTTAACAGTAAAAAGTGAAAAAGAGAGCTCCAAGTGAAACCTTCATGTATTCATTGTTGGTGATTTCACGTCCAAGTATGCTCCTGCCTGCTGCAAATACATCAGCTTTCATAATCTTCGCTCCAGGTGGATTCCCCAGTAAAAGATTGATCACCACGTTCCTGATGGTAAAAAAACAGACACATTACAGCTTCAACATAAAGAAAAAAAAACTTAAAGAACCAATGATACTATTATGTTCCCAAACCTGAGTTGATCATATTCTGGATGGTCTATAGACGACTTGGAGACAAAAGAGCCGTGAATATCAACAGTCACTTCACTGATAATGATCTGGAGATCTTCCTTGTAAGAATCCACAGCTAACGCCACTTGTTGCGCCATCCCTGAATCAACTCTTGGATTGTTCGAAGTTGAAACCGCAAGATCCCTAAGTCTCTGGCAGATGGTCTCGTAGCTGCAAACTTTTTGCGTCTGAAACACCCTCTTCAAGGCCTTTGGTATCGCTCTCTTGATATCATCTGGCATATTTTGTCTAGGGACACGAGGTATAGCATTTCTAGAGCTTCCTCCTTGTTCAAAGACACTTTTTGGCACCTCTTGTTTAGCTGTAGCTGAAGGATTGTTTTTACCTGCAGCATTCCTCAAACTATCACCTCTACCTTTTACTCCTTGTATCATCTTTGGCTGTAACTTTTCTTCCACTTCCTTCCAATTTTTATCTTGCTCCTTTACAATCTCCGAGTGGGATTTAATGAAGGAAACATCAGTGGGCTCTTTGAACTTCCAATCACATAGCAAAGGCCTTTCTTTGGCATATAAAGTCAAAAACGGTTTGATCTTCTCAATGCGACCAGTTGCTTTGATTTCAGAGTACTTTATAGTTAGACGCTGGCTGAACAGGGCCAGGACATAGTCCCTGAAACCCTCCGAGCCGGCGTCTAGTTTTAGTAGCTTATTTTTGGGAGTCCATAAACCTTGAACTAGGCAGGCGTATTGTTGGAGGACCTTTAAGAAATCCTCGTCTGATAACTCTGGGGCATAATGCTTAAGAACACTGTATCGAAATAACGGAGCTCCCTGTTTCTGTTTGGAGTGAACAACGATAGTTAGATGGCTTATAGACTAGAAGCATGATCCATAAAAACTTCATCTAGAAAACACACAAAAGAACGGAGAAACAATAGCCACTAACCTGGCAGAGCAACGTTTTCAGACGCTCTTCAAGCGGTAGGGAGGCTAATAACCTGAAAGCAGAAGACTATATAATTAAGGAACACGTAAAAGAGGTTGCAAAAGTTTTGACACATGAGACCATACCTTTTGGATAAAGCTTTTGACTCAGAGTATCTGCTGTTATCTCCACGGCACAGTGAGTGGATATAAGCATCCCTTAAATGGAATACAAGAAGATATTAAGTAAAACACACATATTGCATCAAGCGAACAGTGAGAAGGAAGACAACATACGGGGTCATGTTGAAGTCTATTGAAGAGTTCCCATTAGCCATCATTCCGTTAAGATATCTGGAGCAAAATTCGGATTGAAGTCCATGATACTTGAGTGAAACCCACTTCTGAAGAAAGAAGAAAGAGAGAGGCGTAAGTTTACCAAACCATATCTAACAACAACAACTCATAGAGAAAGAAAGCAACACATAAAAACAATATGAAACCAATTCTCATACTTCTTCAGGAACTGGTTTCTCGTCCTTTGAAGCCTGCACTCCCTTGTTCTGGAACATATGAAATAATTAGACTCAAGATTAGAATAATGTAAATGGTGGCATAAGTAGCCAGCACTAAGAAGACTGAACTCTACACCCATACCTGTCTTTTTGATGTTCCGGCAGATTCTTCAGTAGGTTCTGCTTGATTCTTTTTGGAAGAATGATACTGCATAGACGGTCGGAGCTGAACAACAGCATGAACAGGATTCAAGTGTAACTGCAAATCAACAAGTCCAATTCAATAAAGTATCCAAACTACACAAGAATGTTATCAAGCTTCGAAAAGAGAGACAAGACAATAATACCTTATCACCGGAAAGAACCCCAACAGCATAGTCCAACGTAGGAGGCTGCTTCCACGTTGTTGTCAACGTCTACCAAAAACAAAAACAAAAAAAAAAGGTAAAATGAAGTTGCGTCAAAAGACCAAACTTGAATTTAACTTTGAAACTAAAAATCTGACCTGCTTAGTCATACGCAATTTACTTCCCTTCTCAGGGTCATAGTTGCTCGATTGAACATCCATAGACAAATCAATTTCCACCTGGGAGGTAGAAGGATTCACCCTAACCTTCAAGACACATAAAATAAACAAAACATTAGAACACAACAAAATACAAAGGGTAGGTAATAGTAATACAAACATAAGAATGAGAACACTCACTTCTTCACACCGTTCATCCATTTCGTATGCACGCCACGACGGCCTTAGAGGATATTGCAGAACATAAAGCTGACATCATTAAGAAACCAAAACTCTTAGAAATCTAATCCAATAGATGAAGGTCCTCTTAACTCTCTAGCATACCTTAGTGTTGGCATCAATAGAGGGATTAAAAAAAACATCAATTTCACGAACAACAACGTCTTCTTCCTCTTCTTCCTTCTCCTCCTCCTGCAAAGGAACCTGGTGATGATCTACCTCCATCACCTCAACCTCCGTCCTCTCCTCCATCTCCTTGTCAACCTTGGAATCAATCTCCATCTTAACAGCGCCATTGTAAACCTCAGGCTCAACCTTGGGATGGTCGTGCTCACTCTTGCTCACAGACTCTGTTTTTGACGAAGGCTCAGCTTTCTCCGAAACAGTTGGTTCGGGTTTGGGTTTGGGTTTGGGCTTTCCGGCACGACCAGGCGCAAACCTCCGGACTTTAGTGACCTCTTTTGGCTTGTCTTCGTCATCAAAGTCCATTCCTTTTTTTTTTTTTCTGTTCCTGTGGATTCCGACCAAACCCTAAACGTTATTACAAGCTTGATGTTTGGGTAAAGATTGAAACTTTATAGCATCAGTAACGAAACCCAGTATTTATATAATCTTAATCGGTGAATCTTGAAGTGAAACTAATAATCTTTAAGAGAAGAGGAAGAGAGAACCTGGAGATCAAACTAGGAGGGAAAGGAGAAAGATGACGTCTTGTAGCTTCCTCCGAGCAAAAGAAAATCGGTGAGAGGTGGCGTTATAGGTTTGCGGAGAAGAGGAAGAGAGGAAACAAAATATAGCGCCGGGGAGGGTTCGAAACTGAGACTTCGAGGGAGGGCAAAGGAGGCGAATTTATCCAACTGCGCCACTTAAGTTATTAGGGTTGTTGGCGGAAGTTAAATATATAAACGTATTCTAAGGGAATCACAGTAGCAACTAAAATAAATTACAAAAAAACAATGTGTAAATGTGTAGTTTCTGTGTCTTGCAGAAATCTTATTTTGTCTACTATAGTTAAAAAAAAATGCGATACTTGTTCATATTGAATCCTGAAAATCAAATGTATGGTTGACAAAAATCTCAATATATATATTATCCCAAAATGTGATATTTATTTGGACTCACGAAGCCAAAGTTAAACGCATTGCATACTCAAAAACAAAACACATCACACTCTTTACGCTCTACTAGTTACTATTAAGAATCATAACTCTCAAGGAGATAAAAGAAAGATAGCTATCGTTTTCCACCTTTTAAAGAACATCTGCATATTATATATAAGCCCAAATCTCACATCCAAAATTATTAACATTTTCCTAAAATCTAATTTTTTACACAACAGGATTTGTCGCCATTAAGAAATGTTACAGAGAAAATGACGACGTTTATAAATAAGTGTGTATTTAAATTCGTTTGAAAATGAAACTGTTAGAAATACTAACAATCAAGGCATAATCAATTCATTAGTTTCCTCCCTTCGAGTCATATGAGAGAGGCTATATACCAAACAAATAATGGGGGATCATAATAAGAAGAATATGTGATAAGTAAAGAGTAACTTGTTGGTAATTACGTTCAACTAACTTAACAGAAAACTAATCCGGGTAAAAACTTGAGCAGTGAGTGTACAAACATGAAACATCCAAAAGCATAGTCTATGATATGCCTAAAACTTCCTCTGATGAATTGGACAAATATGTCAACAAAAGACAATCATCATTCAAAAGTTTTAGTAAAAAAAGCCAATGATCATTAGTGCATATAATTGATGACCGAAGAAATAATAGTGAGCGTAGGGAGTGTGGGACAAACACAAGGCCTATATGGAAGCGTGAAACATGTGTGATTCTTTTTTTCTAACACCAAATATTTATATTAAATTAAAGAATGAATAGACTAATTTAGTTATAACCGAATGAACACGAAAGGTCGAAATCGACATAGATGAATCCAACCAATGGGTTTTGATAAAAAGAAATCCAAGAACCTTCGTAGAAGATTGCAGTTCCGGTGAATAGGTTGCACTGTCAATTTTGTGAAGAACCATTGAAGATTGAGATGGCGTAATATAATGGAGATGCAACGGTGATATAGTAGCGATCATAACTGGTGAATCCATACTCTTGAACTGACTTTATGAATAACTGTTGAAACTTGAGATGGCTACTGTGATAAAAACACAACTGTGACATAGTAGAAAGAATATATGGTGGGTCTACACTCGTTAACTTTTTTTGTGAAACATACTGTGCATTCATATACGATACAACATTTTTAATTTTTTTATCAACCTCCCTAAAGAAGCAAGAAAAATAAGCGTAGATTAATATTAATGATATAAAAAAATACAACATGTCATAAGATAAAAATGGTAACATTTATGTTAAAGATATTTAATTATAGTATAACAAACTATAAAAAAAAATTATTTGGATGATATTACAACCAAGAATATTAGTATTTATGATGATGAATCATTTTTGATAGATATTATTTATGTCATGATGAAATCTCTTGTAAAAAAATTTTTTTTGATATTCTGATAACATTTATTTAGCAGTAAAACAATATGAAATCTATAGTATTAATTAGCAAAATTGTTCATGGGATTATGCCCTTAGGTTTTGAAATTAAGATACAAAAGTATACCATTCATATATTTATGTTTAAGATTTTAGAAGATATTACTGAAAATAAGATCAACAACAATATCTCTCATAAATAGTTCGGCCCTCTTGACTTAAATTATGCCATTTAATTATTCATAACTCATTTATGGTTAATAACCAATATCTAAACTAAATCAATACACGAATCATACAATTCTTGTGTACATTAATATATTTTTCTCCTATAAAGTTGTTTAATACACCTGTTTTCCTTCTCTTCACAAATATATTATATGAAATCAACAGTGTATTACAAGATCCATGTTTCGTAAGAAAATAATAATGAAAATGACCAACTTCGAGTTAATCTAGTGGTAAAAGGGTTGCAGTTGTAATTTCTATCATTTGAATTTAATTCGTGATACAAATAACTATTTAAAATGTCTGAGTTCTAGGTAAAGATATGAAACATACCATTTTTTTTACCAAAAAAATACAATGCATATGATGCATATATAAAATATGTTGCGACTACATTCACAAATTACAATGATATTTTTGAACTATATAGGCCCATGCATTACATCAATACAAATATTGTTAACAAATTTACGTAACTATGTAACTAAATTTACAATTGCATATTGAATAGGTGCCTAAAGCAACAAACAGTAAAATTTGTTTTATTTAATAATTTTATTCCGAAAACATAAATGTTCGTAACAAAAAGATGCTCATACAAAATTTAAAAATCTATACAGTTAAATACAAACTAAAATTTATAGAATATTTTTTTGATAATATTAATCTAAATATTTATTCCACGTTTTTTAGAACGCAAATCAGAATCTACCTTTTAAAACGGTTAAAAATAGTAGTTTCTTATAAAAACAAAACCGCGAAAGCATATAAATGCACCGACGATCCTATCCAACTGATTTTCCGATGTGCCAAATCTATGTACAGTTATGAGAGGTTGAACCCACACAAGGAAATAATCCACCACCATATATAAAACATACAATATATTTCATGTACAGTACAATCTGTATATAAACTTACGAATGTTAAAATACGAGATACATATTTGAATCTTATAAAATAATTTTAGTGTTTGACGTTTATCCTCATCTATATATAATTTGTTACTTTCGAACTATTATCAGGTAACCAGATATATTTTTACAACGTTTCAAAGTGGATAGCACAGCATATATTACGATTCGTTGATTCTTTTAGCTTGGTCCTACGGAACTTAAGATATTTTGTCGACTACTATACAAATCAAACATATAAAATTATTAAAGGAATGACCGCTAAGTCATGACCACTTGTCATAATAATAACACACATCATTTCCAAAATCGTTATATTAATAAATAATTAGCATCTTTCGTGTTTTCTCTTCATCAAGAAAAGAAGAAAAGAAGAGGAAAGAGAGCAAAAACGTTGGCCATGTCATCTTCCCGATGGACGTTGATGGATCTACCGTCGTACCTGTCGTCATCTTGGGTGTTCCGGTGGCCGGAGGTTGACCTATCTTACCTGAGCTCCGGTTGGAACATGAGGCTGTTGTCGGTGTCTGGTAATTTCTCAATCATCGATGATCTCTTGTGGAGTTTGATCTCGGTCGTTGAATCTATGGCTATTGTTGCTACGCTATGTTGCTACTTCTTGTTTTGTGGTTGTACCCTCTAATCTAAATTATTCCTTTTTCGCATTATTTTAATTTTCTAGATTTTGTTGCGAATTTAGTTACCAAATGAAATCTCTGTAAATATAATAAATAATGAATTTCGTGACACTTTCTAGGCACTTTCTCACGTTTCAAACATGGAAAGAAAATGAAAGGCAATTGTTAAACAGCAAAATATCAATTTGGTTTTGCTATGAGATTATTGTTGTACCATTTTTTCTTGTAAAATGTTTCTATGGTAGTACTTAACTAATGATCTAAGTACTATCTAGTACACATTCTATACTCTATAATATCGATGTTTTACTAAGGAAGTAAATAGACAGTTCCTATTGGCTTGGTCTGGTTTAGTTTGGTTTTACATATTTGGTAAACCATGGTATAAACCATTTAAATTTAAACTTCAGTTTGGTTCGTCTAGTTTGATATATCTTAATATATGGAGATATTGTATATGTAATGAAAGTAACAGATTCACTATAAGTATGTGTTTTGGGAAAACAAAGTACAGATTTGAATGGTTGCTGCAACTACATATGAATCATGTTAGCTTCTAAAAGAAAGTGCAGATTACCTACTTTCATTATAAAAAAATAAGTCAAAGAGAGATATCTTGTTGTGGGACGTATAACTAACATTATGAAAAAAACTAAATTTATAATTTAAGGTCTCCGTCGTCAGGAGTTCTAGTGAGGTGTAGTTGTTAATTTCATTAAGAGAGAATAAATTTGTGGTTGACAAACAAATGTTAGAATCTTGCGCCGGTTAGAATCAAAATTAAAAGTAAAGTTCTTCACAAAGTCAAATATGCGACTTTCATATTGGAGTTGTTCTACGGAGACCCAACCATCCCGAAGCTTGTTACCTCTTATCTGATGTTTGCTCATACATTTTCTCGTTGAACAAGTGTCATGACTGTATGTTTAGGCCTTTTTCGGGTACAAATTGTTGGACTCGACATGGTAATGTTGAATTCCGAGGTTTGGAACCAATTAAACCAGTAGTGCTGTCATCAAACTTTATTCTAAGCACTTTTTTGGAGGTGAAAGCTAGAGCTTGAGATTCAACTAGTCTCTTAAGTAAGTCTTGTTGGGTTTAAAGTTGATTATGCTTATTGCAACGTCATATCAAGTCAAAAGGATTTATACTCTCAATGTTGTCTACGGTTCTGGAGCTTCTCACCTAAAGTTCTTACCATTCAACATTTCAACTTCTTATAGGTGTTTCAATATCGTTTTCGACTATCAATTATTCTTTCAAACAATCGCCATGGGAACAAAAATAGAGTTTCCTTTTAGGTTTCTTCATTTCGTTGATCATGACTCACCCCTATATGATTCTATCTTTAGCTATTTTCTAATGTTTTCTAGCTTCTTTCTACTGTCGAGCATGGCTCCAGGATTTTCTATGCTCCAGGATTTTCTGCTTCTGATGTAATTGTTGATGTTCTTTGAACCTTTATAATATAAGTTGTGCACACAAAAAAAGGAACCCAAATTAATATCCAATTAGGTGTTCTCCTGCACCATGTGCAGTAAAAAAATTTAAAATATTTTTTTAACAAATACAATATAAATTACGTTTAAAACTAAAATTTTATTAATATTATAAATTTTATTTTTTATCACTATTTTAATACAAAATTTTGTTTAATTAAACATAAAAATAATAGAAAAATATTTTTGTTTATTTTAAATTATATTTTAGAATATGCATGTATATATTTAAAATTATAATATTAGATATATATTTATCTATTTATTTTAATTAAATATATTAAATAAATTTGTAGAAAAATTTATAATTATCAAAAATTAAAAATAGACAGTATTTATTAAATTTGTAAATATATAGGAAATTAATAATTTTACAATTAAATTTTAATAATTTTCAGAGAAGGTATAAATTTTTGAAAAGTTTGTAATAAAATTGTATAATTTTAAAATATATAACTAATGATATTTTCGAAATTTATAATGCTATATTTGAATATATTTAATTTTATGATGATTTATGAGTTATTACCAATTTGAAAATATTTCCAAAAATATAAATCAACATCAAATCTAATATATGAGTTGTTACCATATTTTATAAAGTTTTTCAAATTATGTTTAAAATTAAAATTTTATTAATATTATAAATTTTCTTTTTATTATCACTATTTTAATACAAAATTTTGTTTAATTAAACATAAAAATAATAGAAAAATATTTTTGTTTATTTTAAATTATATTTAAGAATATGCATGTATATATTTAAAATTATAATCTTAGATAGATTTTTTTATCTATTTATTTTAATTAAATATATTAAATAAATTTGTAGAAAATTTTATAATTATCAAAAATTAAAATTAGACAATATTTATTAAATTTTTAAATATATAAGAAATTAATAATTTTACGATTAAATTTTAATAATTTTCAAAAAAGGTATAAGTTTTTGAAAAGTTTGTAATAAAATTGTATAATTTAAAAATATATAAAAAAAAAATGCTATTTTCGAAATTTATAATGCCATATTTGAATATATTTATTTTAATGATGATTTATGAGTTATTACCATATTTTAAAAGTATTTCCAAAAATATAAATCGACATCAAATCTAATATATGAGTTGTTACCATATTTTATAAAGTTTTCCAAAAATATATATTAACATTAAATGCAATTGTCCATGTCATATTTAATCATATGTCATGTCATCAATTATAGTAGACATGTCACCATTTTTTGTGAAACTAATTGTAGAGAGGACATGTGGCAAAATCACTTCGCAAATAATGGGGATGATTGGTTGGGTTGTAAGTGCTGACTTTAGCTTTAATTTTTATCTACAACACTTAAATCACCAATCATGATTTATCTTATTTTTTAAAGCTACAGCAAAAAACTAAAAAAATGGTTGTAAAATCCTTATTTTCTAAAGCTACATTTTTTTGCTGTAGAAAATATGTTGTTGTAGCAATAAATTTTAAAGCTACATCTTTTACAGCTAAATCAAAAAATGCTACAGACTATTTTCTACAGTAAAATTTTTACAGCTACAGTTCAACCAATCATCCTCAATATATAGGGGATTTGATTTTTTTAACAAGAACTCTTACAAAGAAAAAAGAACATAATTATTTCATAATTCTAAGCACCCTTAAGTAAATTCTCATTAGACCAAAAGGTTCATAATCTTAAATCAAATTGTTTGCTTTGTTCACAATACAGTAGCTGTTATTGTTTCACTGATTGTTGTGAGGGAGGATAAAGTTTAACCCGAGTTCAAATGGAGACAGTTTGGGCTTAAGCCCACATTAATAATAGGTGAGTTTTGAGGCTATTTTGAAAGTTGCTAGCCTATAGTGGTTTCTGAATACTAAAGATTTTGTATATGTTTCAGCAGTTCCACAAATAGTTATGTATTTTTGTTAATCTATGTTTCAGCAGTTCCACAAATAGTTATGTATTTTTGTTTAACATATGACTACAAATTTCATCGTTTGACATATGTACATGGAACTAAATCTTTATCTTTTAAAGAGAAAATAGTTATCGTTTGATATATAACACAACCAAGTTGGTGTTGCAAGTTTGCAATCTACTCTATGCACAAACAACAACATGCTTCATATATCAGAACCGGACAACACGCCTGTAATTAGGAAGAGGTTTTGCACATCATTCGAGCTCTCGACTATACAATATGATTTGTTTTAATGCTCAGTACAAGATTTTCTTTGAAGAAAAAAAAAATTATTTGAACGTTAACATTTATCTTCTTTTCATAATTTTAAATCAATAAAAAATTAATTAGTGTAATTAAATTTTCTGAAGTTTACAATTAATTAATAAAATATGCATTAAAAATGTAAAACTTGAATTTTTTAGAAACAAAATTTCTTTCTAGAATATATCTTTAAAGAACGGAGGGAGTATCATTTATATATAGGTTTCGAATGTTGATCGATCGCTCCACCCCGCATCATAAATAATAATAAATATCTCTATATTTATGTATTTATATATTTTATTATTATTTAAATCGTAGTGTAGTTTTTCCCAGTTGTCCATTCGAACCCGTTTTATATATTTTTATTATTATTTGAATTGTACCGCAGTTTTTCGCAGTTGTCCATTCGGACCCGTAAGACCATGTGCAACGGGGATTTTGATGAATCCTTAGCACATAATCCTAAGCTAATACCAATACAATAATAATATAAAACCTAAAAAAGCTAAGGACTAATCCCTAACTAAGGATTAAAATGAATGAATCCTTGTTGACGTGTCCTCTCTCTACTTCTCAATCTCTGTTTCTTTTTTTGCTAGTAAAATTGAAATCTGCAGCAAAATTTAATTTTTTTAATTGCAGAATTGAAGAGAGGGTGGTGGTGATTTGGATTACTACTCAATCACGATGGATGGTTCTGGCTCAGATCATGAGCTCTTGAAGCAGATTCATACCCTTTCTAGTAAACAAGGGGAGTTACAGCAGCAGGAGCAGATTCATACCCTTTTTGCTCGTTTGGGGCTTTCATGAAGCTTTGCCAGCTCTCTGATGACGACCATCCCAGTTTCTGATCGTAGTAATCTCCATCAGGTTTGCTCAATTTTATTGCAAGTTTCAATCTCTAGTTTTGCCCTCTTCCTATTTCGATAATTAAAGTGTTAAAGTAGCTGACTTTTATTTTTTTTTCTTGCAGGAGGATCGAGTCATGCCTCAGTTTCTTGTAAGTCTTTCTCTTGTCTATCTTGAAACATCACTTCAGTTACTACAAGAACTTAAGATTCATGTTGGTTGTAGTTTATAGACTGAGTTCATGGTCGATATGAAGTGTGATGGTTGTGTGTTCTCTCTGTGACAGCTTCTAAGCTGGTTCCTTTGGGTTTCACTAGTGCTCCTCAGCTCCATGCCCAGAGACAAGAGATTATTCAGATTACCTCTGGTTCACGGGAGCTTGACAAAGTTCTTGAAGGTTGGTTCTGATTTTTGACACATCTTTAAGAGTTTATTTTGCTATTATGATCTTACATTGCCTGGACTCTCTATAGGAGGAATTGAAACCGGATCCATCACTGAGTTATATGGCAAGTTTCGCTCAGGAAAGACACAGTTGTGCCATACACTGTGTGTAACTTGTCAAGTAAGAACTCCTTTCCCTAATTCACTACTCAGCTATTGTTGCTTGTCTAGTAGGAATCAGTGACCTTGAATCTCTTAGTATATTATTGCAAAACTTAGAAAGATATTCACATTGAGGTTCTGGTTTTAAAAATGATTAGCTTCCCATGGATCAAGGAGGTGGAGAGGGAAAGGCAATGTACATTGATGCCAAGGGAACATTCAGGCCACAAAGACTTTTGCAGATAGCTGACAGGTATGCTGTCCTTGTAACACATGTGAAAGCAAGATGGGATTCTTGAGACAGAACAATCGGTCAAGAAATCAGTTTAACATGATGCAGGTTTGGACTAAATGGAGCTGATGTACTGGAAAACGTTGCCTATGCGAGGGCGTACAATACTGATCATCAGTCAAGGCTTCTGCTTGAAGTAGTGTCAATGATGGTTGAAACAAGGTGTGCTGAGTTTCTTTTTTTTATGTTCAGCTCCATTGCGTTCATGATGAGAATGCTAACGTTGAATGTTATGATTGTAACAGATTTGCTCTCATGGTTGTCGATATTGCCACCGCTCTCTACAGGACATATTTCTCTGGAAGGGGAGAGCTTTCGGCCAAACAAATGCATCTTGCATAGTTCTTGAGAAGTCTTCAGAAATTAGCAGATGAGGTGAGACCATTCAGTAGTATTAACTGTTTCCTTTCTAAAATTTCTCGTTGACACACCATCCTGAAACTTTCTCTCACGTGTTTATATGGATCTAGTTTGGTGTGGCTGTGGTTATAACGAACCAAGTAGTTGCACAAGTAGATGGTTCTGCTCTTTTTGCTGGTCCACAGTTTAAGCCGATTGGTGGGAATATCATGGCTCATGCAACCACAACAAGGTCTGAAACGTTTGCAAAATCCAAACAATTTATTTTATAGGGTTCATTGGCAAATATTAGTGAGTTGTATTTTTGTTTTTAATCATATTTTAAATAATTATTGTATTTTTATATTCAGTCATATTTTAAATAATCATTGTAATTTTATATTTAATCATGCAATAAATAAAATTTTATTTTTATTTTATTATTTTTTATTTCTAAGGACTTCTAATTAGATAACACTATTGGACTACAAATTTAGATTAAAATCCTTAACTATTCAAAAAAAAAAAAAACTACTTTTATAATGTTAAGGATTCTTTTTAGAGGAACACCAATGCACATGCTCTAATATGCCATTACCAAGATCATGACTGCACGAAAGATCACCGCTATATCTATGTCATCTATCTAAGAAGATTGAACAATCAGATTTCAATTTATTAATATGGTTAAATATTTTAAAATAAGAAAAGAACAAAACACATACTTTCACTGACTTGGATAAGATGTTATAAGAAAATAAAAATTTGATTTCAATTAGTAACATTATAAACCAATCATGAGTGGATCATAAATTCATAATTAATAACTATAATTAAAATGATATTATGCTTAACTAAAGTGATTGTGGCCAAACCCACTTTGTATTTCTGTCTTGTACAGCACAAGTACGTAGTGTACTCGAATACGCAATATACACATATATACGTATTTACAGTTGATAACTTGATACCTACGTTTCCAGTATATACAACAAATATTTTTCATTCTGATTTTTGATTCAATGAGTTAACAGAATCATGATATTACAGAAGAAACCTCTTTGAAATTACATATGCTATATTTTCTCAACTGGTCATGATGTACGACCGGTCAACATTTCACACCTCGTTGCCACGTACTGTGCTTTCTGCCCAACTTCAAATAAAAATGAAAAGAATATGTGGATTAGTTTGATAATACGTCTACTTTTTCATTTTAAGTCGTAACAATCACTTGATGAAAATGTTCCAACGTTAGTCTCAATTTGATAGCTATTAATTATTAATGCAGTATCACTTTATTTACCATTCATCTCGTTCTTATTTTACTTCAACAGTTAAGATCCAAACATAACCGGCGGCAATACAAAATAGACTAGTATATATACATATAGATGTTTATACATGTATATGTGTGCAACCTTACGTACGGGAATGGTGCGATTAAAGAAGCACATTAATTGTATTAACTCTCCATAATATAGAAAGCATGCTTTGTTTTGATGCTAAGTTGGTGATGGATTAGGGTTGATGAGTAGCCTGTTAGAACTACTTGTGTTTCTATTTTTTTAGTGATTAAAAGACAGTCCATTATGGACATTACTAACTCTATGCTTTTTGCATTTACTTTTATATTTAATATCAGCCATACATCACTTGCGTAGCTATCGGCTTCCTGAAAAAGACCTAAAGCATATATGCACGCATATATAGCTCCATGCATCAACTTTATGAGTGATATATAATTTGTGTATAAATATACATAACGGTGTGCGGATGTTTAGGTTTGTGTTTGTTAATTAATGTCAAAGGATGGCTTATATAAAACAGATAAATCAAATATAAAGACATTAATATAATTACATGGCATAACAATTCACTTTTGTAATCTTGTATAAATACTTGAAAAACTTATACTAGATACAACTTAGTTATGGAAAAGGAGAATAAAATAAACGATGCTGCATATTGTAAATTATGGTCAAGTACGCATGTTGACACGGTGCTTACTATTCCTGAAAGTCTTTCTGAATATTATTTGTGCTGATTGAGGACTAACATAAAAGTCGCAACGAAGAAAACTATAAAAAAAGACTTTTGAGTTTAAGGCAAACGGTCTCTCTTTGACCTTTAATTTGTATAAAGATGAATATGAATTTACGTTTATCTGCAAACCAAAAAGCTAACAGTTAACATCCATGTGACTAATTAGATATGAAGTATAGCTTTTCTTTTGTTATATAAGCTATTTGTCATCATTGTTGAAATTATAGTAGATGTTCGTTGTGAACAAAGCATGTGTGTGTGTCTGTGAATATGTAAGTATATATGAAGGATAGTATACTAGTTATGAAACATGGGAACTGAGCATATATATGAACATTATGATATACATTTAACTGTAGGAATGCAGTTTTATAGATGTATTAGGTATATTTTGGAGCGTATCGATCTACATAACTGAAAAACCCGAAATAGCTTTATATATATGTGATCGACATGTTAATACTCATTGGTTGGGGTTAATAGAAATAAAATAAAGTGTAAAATTTGAATAGAAGTGAGAGCCATACAAGTTGATAGCATGATTACAAATGAAATGGTACTCTTCAAAAAAAAGTTACATCTATATCACATATGCTACAAACCTCTGTTGCTAGCAAGCATCGGTTATTTGTTTAATCGGGATTCCGAAAAAAAAAACGATGCTAAATATTGATGAAGAAAAACATTAGAAAACAAGCTAGATATATCGGTTTGTTTATCTAAACCGGCCAAAAACTCCTCATAAAACCTATCAACCGGATCCAGCCAAAAAAAAAACAATTGCGGGGGAAAACGTTGTTCATTTCTTATCCTCTTCATTGGTTTGGGACTTAATAGTATCCTCTCTGATCTGCGAAGGAAGAATATCTTGAAGTAATCCATGATCTCTAATGACAGAAGTAGAAGCTTGTGGCATATGATCATAACCGAATCCAGGGAATGATGATGACCCTGGATTAATGAAAGTACCATCAGAGGAGCTTCTGTTGATGATGTTTAGAGAAGTGTTGTACATGCTGTTGTAAGGTTGTTGTTGATGCTGAGGTAGCAAGTAGCGTGGCTGAGGGATAGAGAATGATGAGGATGACGCAGTTGTTGCACCATGATCAAGGATTGGTGACGTGAGCATTCCGATGTGTCCACGTGGCGTCATGGGGAAAGGGTGAGAATGTTGACCTTCGTATGTTGTCATGACGATAGAAGGATCATCGGAGGATCTCTCCACTCTCTTCTTCACTCCACAACCTACTGTGGTGCAACGGTAATAGCTTCTGCACATTAAAATAATTTATATTAGATATTGATACATGTATCACAAATTAAACATAGTTAACATTTTCTTATTTACTTTAAAATTTCGGAAAACAATGAATTTTGGACAACATGAGGAACAGAAGATCTCGAGATCTGGGATGAAGTTTGGAACAAGTTGAGATAGAAATCTTCCGACACAAGCAACATAAATCAAGGGAAGAAAAGAACACAGAAACCTCATGGAATGGTACAAAAGAAAATATATTCTTGGAAACGAAAATTCAAACATTTTGGACCCTACACACGCGTATTAGGTATATATAGTCATCTATATATATATTATCGGTTGAACAAAAAAAAAAATATTATCATGGTGAACATGTATAAAATATGAATAAGAAACATGTGATATACATATAGACTTGGCATGTATAGAGCACACTGATCAATCTAGGGCTACTCTACATATATGGTGTGCAACATGTTACTAAATGTGCATGTATACATATATAGCACAACATCTATCAAATGATATATGACCCAAAAGAGAGCATGTAGAAGTTGTAGATGATGTTTGAGGAACTGGATCTACTGAAGTATGTTTACTTATGCATATAATGTATAGGTAAACACAGATGAGTGCAAAGAGACAATGATCTATATGGTTCTATATTGTTTTATAAGTAATCTATATGGATCTAGCTAGGGTTGTAATATGTGTATATATATATCAACATATATACAGAGTAATATATATTACCTGGGATAAGGACTGTTTTTGACAGCTTTCTGGCCGTACTTTCTCCACCTATAACCGTCGTCAAGATTATCAATATCGCTCTTTGTCAGAAACGCAAACCTAGCTTCTCTTGCCTTCTTTGGATTCTTCTTCTTTGCCTTTAACCTTCAAAACAAGATAGTCACACAAAAAAAATTAATAAAAAGCCAAACCCAAACATAAATCAATCAGTCAAATAATGGAAAGTTACTTAAAAACTTATACTTACTGTGGCTTAGTACCCTTGTGCTCTTGTTGATCTCCTTCTTCTCGATCTTTAACAGTAACCTCCTTATTAGTATTATTATCATTTGCAGCAGCTTCGTTGGATGAAGAGGAGACTGAGGTTGAGTTTGGAGATGTCGGTGCAGTGTTGACAACTTCTGATGACTCAGCCCTTGTTGTTACAGGTTGAGGCAAGGGTAAATCAGTAAAAAACATGTTGTTGTTTTGGAGAGGGAAGGCATCGAATGAAAAAGAAGATGAGTTAGAGGAGGAAGCAAATTGATGTTGGTCTTGTCGGAGCAAGTCAAGAAAAGAGTTGGGATTATTAGAGGAATTATCATCGAAATAAGAATAAGGAAAAGGTAAAGATGTTGGAGTATCAAAGATGCTTGAGAGATTGATGTTGTTGTTCCCAGCTAGCTCCAACTGATGAAGATGATAGTCTGATGATGTAACAAGATTCGCCATGTGTGGTGATGAAGATGATGCTTGAGAGATTTGTTGTTCTTGCTGATCTATCTTCTTGTCTGTGTTCTTGGTACTGTTGAGCTGCTCCTTTTGTTGTTGATGTTGATGATGATCCTCTTCTATCTTCTTCTCCATGTAATAAGACTAGATGGAATATCTGAGAGGATACTTTATAGAGATATCATCATCATTGTCATCTTCTGAGATTTAGTGAGAAAGAAAAAGGAGAACTTTTCTCAAGCTTTCTTGATGATATGTTTTTTTTTTATATTTTGTAATGGTTTATGTGATTTGAGATAAGAAGGGGAGAGAGAGAGGTGTGAATGTAAGCTTTGGTGGAGTTTTGGGTTCTTCTGGAAAACAGCTTGGATTTAGGAGGTTTCCCATTTGTTTGTTTTTTAATTATTAAATAATATGTCCTCTCATTTACGCGGGCAAGAATATTAAAAAGGAAGAAAAATAATAATAAAAAAGGAGAAAAACATTGGTCACCGGTATACGCCGGTCATGAGAGGCGTACGGTTGTGAACGGTATCGGGACGGTGCCGTCCTCTGCCGGGCATTTAATTTTTGTGCCTTCATTTCGTTTTTTTCTCGTCTTTATTCCAACATGATGTCGTGTCTCCTAACGGCATGCTTACAGTTTGGTCTCTAATTTCACTAACTACTTGACTTTTCTTGTTCAAACTTTATTCGGATTTTACATTTCATTTTTACTATATTGGAGAAAACATTAATCTTTGCAAATGATTGGTGTGGCATAAAGATGGATGAGTTATATTGAACGAAGTATTCAAAACGTGTTGAACTGTTGATTTTTATATAACTGTAAAATATGCAGTTATACAACGGTAAGAATTCCATAAATTTTATGCTAGCTCTCAAAAAGATGTCATAAATTTTACATGCAAATTAAGAGTCAAACAGTTGATATTATATATGAATAATATTTCAATATAAATCGTCCTTTAAAAATCAAAATATATATTTTACTTGTAAGACCATTAGTCTGAAATTTGAATGCCCGCAAACATTCATTTTAATAGGATTTGCAAGTCACTTTTACCAAAAAAAAAAAGGATTTGCAAGTCATGTGCTTCTTTAGGAATATAATACACTTTGGATTGTAAAAACTTGAAACCCTTCACAATCACCTTACAACTTACATATTTTTTTACCAACAGAGTATTGGATTAGTGGTTTAATGTTTAGAATTAGATGGATTGTATCCCAAGCTCGATTTTCGTTAGAAAAAACTTTATTCCTTATTTTGGTATTGGCAATCAATGCTTTTTAACATAATAAGATTAATTTGCCCGAAGATTCAGATACTTCAAGATTAATAAAAAATCACATTTCTATGTTAATTATACTATGCATGTCTAAAATTAGTATACAGAAATGCATATGCTTTGGTTAACCAGTTGATATACACTCAGTAATACTTTTGTTGAAAAAAAAATATCTATATTTAAAATAATTTAAGTATTATTTTTATTTTCTTGAGATCAAAACTCAACGGGATAACCAAATAATTCGTTTTTTTGTTACAATATATTCTTTACGGGATAACCATATAATTCGTTATTTTTCAGAACTATTTGACGGATTTTGACTCAGATCAGTTTCCCGGCGAGTCTCATACACTAATGTCTTGTTTTTACGCGTAATTGTACAACTAAAAACCGGTTAAAACGGTAGACCGATAGATACGAGAAGTGACGCGTGAAAGAAAACACGTAGACGTCTGAAACGAAAGATGTACGTCGGCCGCATGTGATTACTGCTCTAATTATTTTATTTGATTTTTAAGCTCCTCGCGGCTTTCCTTGATTTTAAACTTGTTAACGTCTTTTCCATTATAAATGTTTTTTTACGGGAAAAGTAAATCAGTGATCCTGACATAAATATTTACATTTCGCCTAATCCTATTCTGATTTGGACGTCTTGTCGCCGATTCTTTTCATATTACAGGTTGCAATAGTTAATTTTATATTATTGTTTTTGTTATTTTCCATTTACCATTGGTAACCTACTGAATATTATTAACTTTAAAACAACTACGTTTTGTCACCCAGTTTATAACTTTTTATCTGAGTGCATTTACAAATGTAAGAGACCATAGTCGATGATCTGGATTCAAGTGAGTACTGAGTACATTTTAGCGATTCAAAATGAATATAAATAAGCTAATGGCCATTAAGAAAAATAAAACTGAATACACTGCAGTGAGCACATACTTTCACGTAGATAGAGAATATAAGATGAGAAAATGCTTCAAGGTAAAGATACAACCAACAGAAAGAGACAAATTAATACTCATAGTTAATACTAGCGATTTGAATAAATTGAGAAACAGTAAAAGCAGGAAAATAAAATATAAAATACAATTAAAATATGGAGTAAACGCGTAAGAAAGAAGCTTCGAAAATAAGCTGACACAAAGCATACGTAAGCATAGAGTTTGCTTCTTCTCCGACAAGTCACTGGTCATCAATTCCTCTTAAGTAACTATTTATTGCTCCATGCCTCCACCCTCATTTTTAGATCTTCATTTGTTAAAGCCATTTATAATTTTATGGTTAATATCTACTACTCCCTCCGTTCCTTAAAGATACATATTCTAGAAAAAAAATTTGTTTCTAAAAGATCCATTTTTTACATTTTCAATGTATGTTTTATTAAATAATTGTAAACTTCAAAAAACTTAATTGCACTAATTGATTTTTGATTGGTTTAAAATTATCGAAAGAAGATAAATACAAAAAACTATGCAAATTTATTGTGTTTTATTAAAAAGTGTGAAAAAACTAGAATATGGATCTTTTAGGAACAGAGGGAGTAGTATTTTTTTATTTTGGTTAATATCTATTTATATAGAAAATAAACTCAATATTTCATTTTTATTTTAAACGATATAGAATCCCAAAATAATGATAGATCAGAAATTCATATGTAGAAATATAAATTAGATATCTACATTGAAATTGCATGATATAAAAATATTTGTTCTGATATACTTAAGGTGCCAGAAATAAAACTCTATAAAATTCATTTCATATATTAAATATCCAGGTTTGAAAATAACATACTATTACGTAAAAGATACTCATTATCAAAATTCACTTTTGTTAGGTGAACAACAACAAAAATTTCACCACTATTTTTTCGCTGTCATGAATATACAAATACGCTCTTTTCCACATATTTATGTTTTCATGGCATGAAGAAATGTTTTTTACCAAAAAAAAAAAAATACATATTTTCAGATAAATCATCACATTTTCATATTTGTTCTTTACATTTTACTTTTCATTTATCTATCTCAAGTTCCGATTCGTTTAAAAGTAAAATTGAACTTTTGTTGGGAGGTGGGGGTTACACGCTTTTCTCATTACATAACCTTTTGTGTGTGAGGAGAATGAAGGGTCATGGTCATGTTGGTCATGGACCCACCCGACCCGTCTCTTGTGGGCCAAAGCAGTAACACTGTAAAATCGTATATCAGGCAGCTGTTCGACAATGGTTTTATCGAGCAGCCAACATATAGAAAGCAGAAGGTTGTCATAGGCACGTGTTGTTTTATAACGCGTTATTAGCTGTTTTATTTTCCCTACCCTCATGTCGGTTAACTTCCATCTCAAGCCACTCTCCTCTATATTGTTTTCCTGATTTACTCCAAGCAACACTTTTTCAGTAAACACGTTACTTTGTTTTTTTACTTATCATAGGTTAATGATAATGAACCAACATCGATATCATTGATTAATTAATTACATAGTTGGTAAAACTCGGTGAAAATAGGTTAACGCGTGATAAAATCGTAGGATGCTGATTATATACTTCCCAAACAAACAAAAAATGCTGCGTTGTTGAATGCTGGTACAGTTATACGTACTAAATTTACCAACGATCCAGTTCAAAATGCAATGCACGTGTGAGGCTTTCGTGTGTATAGCAGAGTATTGGCGTGCACTATTTTCTCTTGACGAAATAATATATTTGTGTAATGTAATGTACCTTCATGAGACGATGATACATATACAAATGAATTAATGAATCAATTGAAACCAAATCTCATTAGTATAAAAACTGGGTTTGACATGGTCCACTGGTAAAAAGTTAAGTAGCCGCAAACTAAGGGCGTACGTCCACACAGCCTCTTTTTTCATACGTTCACTTAAAAGAAAGAATCTCAAAATCGCCAAATCGTGAATACAAATACTTACTAGTTGCTACCACAACAACCACTCGGTCTTTCTTTATTATATTTATATTTTTATACACACATCAACCTCTCTGTATTCATATATCTCAACAATATTATACATTTAGATTATTAATTAAGCTATTGATTATTCTTTCTCGTAGGAAATATATATTAAAGTGGTAGAGAAAGGAAGTATAACCATTAATAATATATTAGCTCTCACACGCAGATATATGTAACCGTAGTGCGATTAGTTAGACTAGAAGGTCTAATTAATACTTAGATCGGTATGACATTTTTAAAAACATACTATTTTAGTTCTTTACGGGGTTAAATCTCACTTTCCAAAGTATGTTTGTGTATATACATGTGTTGTGCACATGGATGAGATCGGGTTTTGTTTAGTTCGAATTGTAGTGTTATTATATCGCCGCGGATAAAGTTATTGCTTTAGTAACGCAAACATTAAAAAATGGATATGATTGACTGACTACAGAATCATAGCTAGCTAACTGCTAAAGTTCACGGGACCAGATCTAAGAAAATGTATATATTTCATATGCGTGAGACGAAATGGTCAAAAGTCAAAGGTGTTGACCATCAATTGTTAAGCTTACATTTATTAAAGTAAAATTATCATGATCGATCACTTTCATATTTCGAAAGTGTATATTGTTCTAAGCTATTCGTTTGTACGTAGTTTTTCTAGAAACTAGTCTAGAGTTTCTTTTTGTCAACTCTTGATTATTTTTATCAGCTTCATTTAACATTTTAATCTTGAAAATGTCTAAATTAATGATGTCAAATAAATTTGTAGATTCATACTTGATCGTAAACTATTATAAGTATTGTTTTTAAAGCCTTTATGGAAAATTAGAGAAAAGTCGGGTATATTGGCCCTGATATAGGGTTTTTGTTCACTTAACTTTTGCATGTACAGATGTTTTTTTTTTTTCTTTGATAATCCAGGGAGTCTTACTTACATGGATCATTCCCCTGGTCTCGGTTACGCAACGATCCACTTTCACCCGGGAAGGCTTTAAACCTGGGCTGGGAACAAGGCCCAACACCCAGTACCGCATTTATGACATGGATAGGTAGTTCGCCTCCATGTGGCGTCGAACCCGAGGACATGACTATTGGCCTCCAAGATTTTTACCACCAAGCTACACCATCCCGTCGGAATATACTTCTTCCAACATAATCGTATGGATTATTTTTTGCATCCTACTTTTATATATAGTATACAACAATATTTGGAGACTATGGTTTCAAACATTGCTCTATCGACGTGATATATATATGATTTCTTGATTAAATTAATGCCCAGCTGACTTATCAGCATAAAAAGATTTTTGAGCAAACAGAACTAATATAATATCGTTTGACCATAACAGAATTCTAAACCCAAATGATCTAGGATTAATCTTGGAAATTTCGAACATATTATTGTCATGTCACTTGTCAATGTTGAAAGGAGTAAAGGTCAAAAGAGTTAGCTATCGTCGGTCCAAGCCAAATGAGCCAGGTGTACTACGTTCGTATAATTACAAGGTGCAAATACATATAAAATGTCTTTCATTGACTCTGAAGTCCGATGTATTTTGTACAAGACGGTGATTATTATGAAACTCATCGGATCAGACCTACTTAAGATAGAGAGAGAGAGAGACTGGGGACACTCCAATTTCAAATATCATAATATATATAACGAGACCTAAACAAATATGAGATGATAAAAAAATATGAGATGATATTATTGTTTGTGATCAGAGCTATACGTCTGATAGAAACTTAAATACCAACCTAAACTAAACGATGCAACTAACTAAACCTATAAACTGTTATCTTTTCAAACTGATACAATTTATAATTAGATATAAACAATTGTTGTATATGGTTTTGGTATATATCATTACAATTTACATACCAGTATCCAAATTAACGATGTACTAGTGTAGAATCGGTTATCGAAATAAACAAACTATAAATGTACATCTATAAACGATTAATGTAAATTAAAGAATACATGGATAGAGAATAATAAAGGTCAAGATTCGTTCTGGATGAAATGCAGGAGGAGGGGAAAACAACGTGTTGACTTAAGAACTGGACTTTTCTCATGTGGAGTGAGAACATCTAACCGATGATTGCGGCTCTGGTGATTTTGATTATAAAATAAGTTATTTATTCCCTGTGAAATATTAGTGTGTATTAGTTTATACCAGTGACAGGGATGTCCCAAGAAGATGACAAGAAGAAAAAGTCAAAGTCAAGAGAGATGGGAGTGGTGTTATGATTAAAATGGAATAATATTGCAACGCTAAACCCTAAAACGCGTTATTCGTCACTACTAGACAAAACCACTTTAATAACTCAAGGGAACAGACAGCTGCTTTGGCAGCTTGTTCACTTGAAACGAGTTTGTGAACTTCAGTTATTCCTAGATATGGCGTCTCATTTTGGTACATGGAGTCATGGATCTTTTGTTTGTTTTGTTTATCTTTCGAGATGTTCTTGGTAAGTAATATCAATGCATGTAGTTCAGCAAGTCAATGAAATAATCAGATTTAAACGAAATGAAGTAGTTAAGCAAGGCATTGTAAAAATAATTAATATAGTCAGTGCCTAACGTGATGAGAATAATTGATACTATATCTTAGTTAGTAATAACGATCACGAAGGAGGCACATCATGCACTATATAACATCTCGGTTATGTATATGTATACAGCTAGAGGCGAATCTGATAACGATCACGAAGTGGTCTTTTACATTTTAGCTACCAATTACAATGATTTCAAGCACAAAAATCAAAATGTAATTATTTTTATGGGCTCCAGTCACTAACCTGCCTTCGTCCCTGTATATAGCTTCATATCGATAAAAAACATAGTATATAATAGTATCGTATAAACTATAAGCCTAGAAGAATGTCAACTTGAGTCCATTTGAATATTAAATACGTCTAACGCATCCAACGTTGAAGCAAAACAGGGAATAATTCATTGAATTGTATAATTGAGGGTCTGAAAATTAATTTATGGCCGTATATGAAAGTTGTTAGACCAAGAAAATGTATTTTTGTGGGCGAACTATAAATGCATTTACATGTCATTATCAAGTATCAACTCATTTATAAGTATAGGTATAGCCTAAATCTTGTGTTACCACAAATATGTTACCATGTAACTGTTCTATTTGTAACCAATCACCAAATACACATCAATTTCCTGATCATGTATAATTTGAAGAATATGGGTATTTCGGATTTAGAATGTACACTATGTAATGTAATAAAGATGCAAGTGTAATACCAGAAAATAATGGCACAAAGATTGTGGTTTTTAATGAAATCTATGAAGGATGTGGTTGCAGTATAAACAACAAAATCAAATTAATAGATAAAAAAGAGAAGTGAAAGTCAATAAATGAAACATGGACCACCATTAATTGAAGGTCCATCTTGTAAAGGTCAGCTCAAGCCCTAACCATCGACAAAAAGAAAACTCCTCTCCAAATACTTTTTCTTTGTTTTATTCTTTTTTCTTCTCTTCAGGTACTATTCTTTATTTGGAAACGATGGAAATCTCAAGATGTTTTTATAAATACTGTCAACTTGATTATCCGAGCATTTTACAGAACATGATGTAAACATTTGTCTGAAAAGGTACTAACAATTATGACCAAATATCTGTAATATTTCAAACTATAATTTCTTTATTTACTTCTAGAAACATATCTCATTAATAACTCTTAGAAGTTTGAACATTGATCAAAACCATCAAATTCTGCAAATAGTTTGATATATTTATCACATCCTTTAACAAGGAGTAGTACTTCAATCGCAAAAAGACACAAGATTGGTCTCAGAACTCCGACAACAAACGATGTAACAATGCTAATGTTTCTATCCATGTGTTTGTCTCAGAAACAAAATTTCATCAAGATAGCAAAAAAAGAAGATCAAGAGTTACAAACCAAAAGGTGTTGCAGAAATCACATAACCTCCTTATAATCTCACACGATTATTGATTTGAACCTGTGATTCATGAGTCTGCAGCAGTAATAGCAGTAGGGGCAACTTGTTTAACCCTCCTCTGCTGAACATCATAGTTATAGATACGCGCAATAGTCACCTGTCCATCATACAACAATCCAAGTCAAAAAAGTCAAAAAAGAGAAACTAGTTTTTACTCAGATCTCTGTACTTGTATCTAAATTCCTAAACTGCAAGTTCAGGTTAATTTAAAATTCACAGATATAAGTATCTGAGATAAAACATATAAGTATCTCTGTACCTGAGTAACTGTGACTTGATCCCTCAAGAACTGTAAATCAGCTACAAGAACCTCCAGGCTGGCTTTAGCATTTTCCAGATTGTTTTTCAAAAGGGCGGTAGCCTGTTGGAACAACAAAGATTATAAGAACTTATTCTAGGGTCCCTGGTGCAAGAAACTTATAACATGGAAGAGAATATATTTCCAGCGAAATGGACCTCTTCACAAGTATATTCCAGCATGACATTTGCTCCCAACCACAAACACACTGAGTCAGTGTCTTCAATACAGGCCCGTGAATATATTCCTTCAGACACTTCAAAATCCGCCAGAAGGGCCTGCATTGTAAGAAGCATTCCATGTGGGAAAAAAAAGATGAAAGAACACAAGAATCAGTACCAAGTCAGTGCATCAAAGCAACTTTCATATCAAAAAGATAAAAGATCGTGTGCCTATTATAACCTATGTGTCAGTTAATGGATTCTTCCACTATGGCTAGATACTATGTTCTGCGACACAACATGTTCTACTGTCACAATCAAAAACGACTTAAAGACACCAATCAATCGTCCCATTGATTTGTGACTTAGCAATAGCAGCACCCTATTGTCTTTCCAACCAAGCAACCTTAATCAAAAAAAGACTTTCAAAACCAAGCAGGCTTATCAGGTTCTACGAAAATGTTACTGACTCGCACAAATATAAGAGAAAAAAATCTTCACAGGAATACAACATTCGGTGTACAAACATCAATAAAAAAAATCAAAGCACAACACAACCAAGTTCAATCTCAAGAAACTAAAAGACTTCTGGATACAGAACTTCAAAAAACATTTACATTCAGTCATCATCCACCTCAAAAACAAAAGTGAAAAACCAAACATAGAAACATAAAAGCGTTTTGCAACCAAAAAAAAACAGAGAAGAAAGAGTATTCAAGTATATCTAGTAGAGAAATTGTTACAAGAAATTAAAAACGAACCTCACCAGTACCCTTCCTTGCTTCCAAAGTGCCAACAACCTCTAAGCACTTCTCAATATCTGGGATTTTAGCCTGCCCCAATCACCAAGAATGTTAAAAGATATCTCAAACGAATCAGATACATAAAACATCCCACCGCAAGCTCAATCTCATAATGTATAACTACTAATTTATTTAAGAGTATACCTGAAGATCCCTTTGCTGAGCAAGAAGCTTCATCTCAACAACTTTATATTGCTGAAGCCTACACAGAAGATTATATAATAAATCACTAAAGTGTAAATCAATTAAACAAAACAAGCTAATGTATATGCCCATAGAGTAGTATTAGTACAAGAGATCTGGGATTGAACTACTTAATAAGGCTAAAATGAGAAGGGTGGAAGGAAAGGAGGAACCTTTCTTGATGGAAGGCGAGAGCAGAGTTGGAATCGAGGCTGGATTGAGAGAGATAAGTCTCGACATCTTGGATGAATTTAGCGGCAGGGATCCCTCTTCTCTCACTCAAATCGTCACCGGTGCCACTTGGGGAAGACGACGACATCTGCAATCGAGATCTCTGTGTTCCTCGATTTGGGGATTTAGGGTTTTCTCTAGAGTGCCTTCGGAGAGGAGAGTGTGAAACCAGTGACGGAGTAAGGATCGGTGAAAACGACGTCGTTGTTTTCAGTCAGAGTAGAAGCACTTAAACGGTGCCGGTTTCGGGGATTTGGAAGTGGGCTTAAGGTCTCTCTGATGATAAATCAGGCCCATTAAGAATATTTAGGAAAAGAAAAGAATTATATAATCCGGTTTGACCCAATCAATACTTATGGAAAGATATCTAATACAATAAAGTTGACTATTCTCCCTTCTTAGGGTGTCCACCTCAGATTTTTAGAGGGGGGCAAAAAATGACACCTCAGCCATTCTTTATTGAAATCAAACCGACCAAATTTAATCTCTCCCGTATCGGTTTGTAATGCGTTTGGTCATGGTTTATTGTATAAGATGTGGGCTGGACTATTATTCTCTTAGGC